AAGAAGATAATGCACAGTGGGTGTTATAAAGCAGTAAGGCCCATTTTGTAAGTCGACGTGTTATTCTCTTTATAGTAGACACTTTGAAAAAGTATACACTTCTTCAAATGCTGCCGCTATGGCTCACATAAAAAAACAAAGAAAAAAAGACTTCCTTTTTTGAGATTTTCATTCATAATCAGTTCACAACCCCATTTGAGATCTGTCATCACATAGTTTTGACCACAAAAATAATGTATCATTCATTCTGAATCTAAAGAATGTCTTAAGACTATTTTTGGCTATTTTTTAAAATAAAATATGCCTTCAAAGACTAAATATTTTCCCCCACTGAGGAAACACACACACACACACACAAAAGTGCATAGAATCCAAAGGGAAGTTCAAACCAGAACTTCCAAGAATGCTCATCAGTGAGGATCCTCAGAATAAGTGTATAACTTTCAAGACTATTGTTTTAAAAGTCAACGTTATTTAAAAGTATACATTTATTTACATTCATTTTAAGAATCAATTTGCATTAATATCTACAAAGAATCAAAAATAGAATGTACAAACCATTCCATTTATCTTTTACTAAATACACATATTATTCACTTCCTTATACTGTTTTTTTTAAATTATTGGTTTAGTCATTATTTGTTTATGCATTTACTCATTTATTTGTTCAACAGATGTTTACTGAAGACCTACTAAGTACCTGCAACACAATACTGCAAAGTGGAAGCTCAGATAGACAACATTGGCTATTTTGTCTACAAATATAAAAGTTCCGGCTGGGAATATTTCTTCATCAAAGTACCTGAGTTTTTTCATAAAATGACTCTGAGGGAAGTTTTAGAGGCATCACAGTCGAAGACTGAAGGTGATGCTCTCAGAGTGCAGACCGTGGTGGGCTGCCTAATTGATACATCAGAGGCTGCTTCTATTTCAAAATGGTGAACAGAGGCCAAGAATTTGTCCTCTCTCCCACCCAAGATCCCTTCAAAATGATAGAAAGGAATTTTTTAATGATAAAATCAATAACAGTGAAGAGAATAGGAAGGTTGTCATCTTTGAGGAAGAAATTTTGACAGATTTCAGAAAGACAAAATGTTTATAGCAGAATGTTAGTACATCAACAGGTAAACCAGAGCGGAGGTGTCCGCAGCCTGAAGTCCATGAGGTGGATGACAGTGGAGGACAATGGAAGAAGGAGTACATCTTCTAGGCAGGACTTCAGGTTTAACCCCAGCCAAAAACATAAGTTTTCCCTCTAAAGAACTTTCATTATTTTTTGGAGGGGAGGACCGGGACAGTTGGTGTATGTGTTGACATCACAAAGTAAGGCATTCTTGTTTAGGAATACCTTAGAGAGAAGCTTGCCAGTTGATATGACCTGCTCCCATACACAGAAACTGATATCATTTCTATTCCTCATTCTTAAAATGATTTGACAGCTAATTATCAACAAACATTTAAGAGAAAAAGAAAGACAAACACATTATAAAACGGCATTTCTATTTATTCATCTTTAAAACTTAATGGAGAACTAAGGATGAACAGATATTTGAGGGGGAAAAAGAAAAATACACCATAAGAGATAGAAAGAATTCAAAGAAACAGGGACTTGAAAAGACATTATATCCATAAGATGAAGCTGGGACTTTTTTTTATGACAATGAGAGAACAGTAAATATTTCTGGGAAATTAAATTGCCAAAATAAAAAAAATTAACCAAAACATATTTAATAGAAAGATTAGAAGATACAATTGAGAAAATTTCCCATAACATTGAGCAAAAAGGCAAAGGAAAGATAATAGAATAAAAAATAGTCATGGAGGAGAAATTCAGGAGATTCAATGGCCGATGCTGAGAAGTTCAGAAAGCAAAAAGGAGAAATTAGGGGAGAAAGTTATCAAAGAAATAATACAAATAATTCCAAGAACTGAAAAGAAACACAAACATTGATCAGAATTAATTAAAAAAAGACCCAGACCTTGACGTACCGTAGTGAAATATCAAATCACCCAGGATAGCGTTCCTGACAATTGCAGGGGGAGAAATTGCAAACAGGTCACTACAAGGGAATTTGTATGAAAATGGACCAGACTTCTCATCAGCAATGAAGGATGCTAGAAGACACTGGAATAAAGCCTTCAAAACATGAAGATAAAATTATTTTGGACCCAGAGTTCTATAGCAGCTAAAGAATGAGAAAAAAGACATCATTTTCAGACTTGCAAGTGCTCAAAATATTTTGCCTTCCCCATACGTTTTCTAAAGAATTTACCTGAGGATGTACTTCCAAAAGAGGCAGTAGAGGAGGGGAGAGTAGGCAAAACTAAAACAGAGAGAACTAGGGAATATAGAAAATTATAGAGCTAACCAGGACTCTAATGAAAAGAAGCCCCTGGGCAATAAGTCCACCACAAGTCTTTTTGTGTGTGTGTGTGTGTGAGGAAGATCAGCCCTGAGCTAACATCCGTGCTAATCCTCCTCTTTTTGCTGAGGAAGACTGGCTCTAAGCTAACATCTACTGCCAATCCTCCTCCTTTTTTTCCCCAAAGCCCCAGTGGATAGTTGTATGTCATAGCTGCACATCCTTCTAGTTGCTGTATGTGGGACGCGGCCTCAGCATGGCCGGAGAAGCAGTGCATCGGTTCGTGCCCGGGATCCGATCCCGGGCCGCCAGTAGCGGAGCGCATGCACTTAACCACTAAGCCATGGGGCTGGCCCCACCACCACAAGTCTTGAAAGCAATTACAAAAAGGTGTTGAGTTTCAAGATTATCTTAAAGAAGAAAAATGAAAAAGATTCTAAGAAATTAATAAAATATCTACAGAATTAGATGATATTTGGAATATAGTAAGAATATATGTGGTTTTTCTCCCTACAAGAAAGAAAGAAAACAAAGTCAAAACTTTAGGAAATAAAATTTGTACAAAACAGTCATAGCTTAAGTAGAAAACAACCCAAAAACATGGCAGATTTTTAAGCATTTTGAGTGGAGGGAAATCAATAAGACTCTTTACTCTCCTTCTACCCCCTCGTCTCCTGCTGGTGCCTCTCGCTGGCCAAACCCAGCCAGAAGCTATAACTGTGCTGTCTGGTATAGGAGCCACTAGGCATATGTAGCTATTTAAATTAATTAAAATGAAAAATTCAGTTCCTTAGACATATTAGCCACACTTCAAGTGCTCAATAGCCACATGTGGCTAGTGGCTCCTCTACTGGACAGCACAGATATAGAACATTTCCATCCAAGTTCTACTTAGACAAGGTTGATGTTGGGCAAGGGAGGGCTACTGTCCGTGAAGGGGAGCCTCCTGGGCACAGAGCAAGCTGGAGAAGGATGGGGAATGGATCTAGAGGGACAAACAGGAGATATACAGCATCTCCAGCACTTCCAAAGGCATGTCTAGCAAGGTGCTCTGTTAAAAATATAATAGAAGTTTGGGGGTGGAGGGGCAGTCGATGGTCAAATAAATTTAACAAACTGTACACACTGTTTTGTTCCCTTGGAGGCTCAAGATAGACATCATCAGCCTAGTCACAGCCCTGAGAAATCCTGAAAATGTGTTGAACTTTGTTTAAAAACAGGTGTTTTCCAAACTATTTTGGCTAAGAGATCTTTTTTTTTTTTTTTTTTTTTAATGGGAAGAGTTACAACCCTTTCACAAATTTCCTTTTGTGGTAGATAGTTACCATGCTTGGACTTCCAAGATCCAATCATTCTCCTTATTTGAGGTAGAGGATCCAAAAGAGACAAGAAGTTTAGATCTTTCTGCCCAACCAAGTGACCCAGGAGGAACAGATGCCCCCACCCATGCAGTGGCCATGAAAAGGCCCCACTCAGAGGCTCCTACTTTGGGGAGCATAACTGACTGACAGCTTCAGCTGGTGCCTTTCTGATCCACCCTTGTGTTCATGCCATGCTTCCCCTCGGCTGTTCTGATCCACCCTTGTGTTCATGCCATGTTTCCTCTGGGCTACTCCCAGCCAAAGGGTGGACATGGCCTGGGTATTAGTCCAGGCCCATTCTTGCAGATGTGGGACTCCTTTGAAAGCACCTTTGGCTTGAGGACTCCTCATTGGCCAGGCTGAGACTTTCTTAGGACTGCCCTACAGCCTGACATTCCTCCTACTCACTCTCCCTTCCTCCCCTTCTCATTTCAAAGGTATCAGACCTGAATCTCAGTCTGAAGATTCTGCCTGCCTATTCTGGCTTCCTGCCCATTTTCCTTCACAGGTGTTTCCCCCAGTAAATCTCTTCCTTGCATGTCTAGTACTGTCTTGGTGTCTACTTTCTTGGAGGACCTGAACCAATACAACTTGAGATCTGAATCTTGAGTAGTGTGTCAAAGATGTGGGAACACGTAGAAATACTTCCAAGCAGAGCGCCAGAGCGTAGAGAACTCTTAGACACGTTTTCTTTGACAGGCCCCGTGTTTTGTTTGGTTTTAATTGGATCTCAGTGCCTTTAATTGTGGTATGTGTTCTACCCCAACCCCTCCATTCCCTATTATCTCACTCTCATACCAAATGAGTTGCCATATGACCTGCTTGGTACATGCACAGATTTGAACTTGGAATCTCTAACTTAATGCACATATTAACATAGGCAGTGAGAAATCACATCAGATCCCTCACAGTTCTTCTGAATCCTAGTTCAAAGACCCATCGACTTCTACCCTTTGCCCCACTATTCTATCTGGATTTAGAGGCCATTATGTCCTAAGCAACTTAATAGCCCCAGTATCTCTTTGCTCTCTTCATTGGGTTTAGCTTTCAGCACTTTTGCCATGTTAGAGATTCTCTCCTGAGATGCCTCCAAGTGCTCCCTGCCCCTACTAATTTATGACCCTCAGAACCTAATCCTCCAGGGCACACCTTTCCAGTCTCCAAGCTCTAGACACATTATTCCTGAGTATCTTCCCACTCTTTTTCCCATCACATCCCATCCACACTGCCTTCTTCAAGTTGGCTGAATGGTCCACCCCTTTAAGAAGCACTTGCCAATTAACCTCACCTCACCATGGGCATCTTGTATCACTTCAGCCCTCAGTGTAAATCCTAACAACCTGTCCCTGTTCTTATATCACTATGTGTGATTTTTATGGCCTTTTAAGTGGCCTTTTGCAAGGTTCAATATAATTCATTTGTGATAAAATTATAGAGTTTGGATGTCATATTAAACATTGAATCATATAGTGAGAAAACAATTCCTTTTCCGATTCTTATTATACTAAAGATAAAGTCTTAGTTTTGTGGTTAGAATACCACTCTGTTTCTAATTTGCCTTTTCAATAAAGAACAAGTTGTCTTCAGACTCAGAGCCCTGGTTCAACAATATTGGTCAGAATTTAATCATTTTTATTGTACTTATTTTGGCATTACTTCCTTCTGGCAAGGGACATGGTTTTTCTTCAATAAAAATTTCCTTTTTTTGACTCTGATACTTTGCTGAATTCATTTACTAGTTCTAACAGTTTCTTGGTGGAATCTTTAGGTGTTTTGTTTGGTTTTGTTTTGTTTTGCTGAGGAAGATTTGCCCTGAGCTAACATCCATGCCAATCTTCCTCTATTTTTTAGTATGTGGGTCACCAGCACAGCATGGCCACTAATAGAGCAGTGTAGGTCCGTCCCTGGGAACCAAACCCGGTCCTCCGAAGCGGAGCATGCTGAACTTAACTACTAGGCCACTGGGCCTGGCCCAGGGCTTTTTACATATAAGATCATACCATCTGTGAACAGAGAGACAATTTTACTTCTTTCTTTCCAATTTGGATGCCTTTTATTTCTTTTTCTTGCCTAATTACTCTGACTAGAACTTCCAGCACTATGTTGAATAGGAGTGGCAAAAGCAGATATCTTCGCCTTGTTCCTAATCTTCCAGGAAAAGCTTTCAATCTTTCACCACTGAATATTGTGTTTGCTGTGAGTTTTCCATATATGGCTTTTATTATGTGGAGATAGTTTACTTCTATTCCTATTTTGTTGAGTGTTTTTGTTGTGAAAGGGTGTTGAATTTTGTCAAAAGATTTTTCTGCATCAATTGAGATGATCATGTGGCTTTTTTCTTTCATTTTGTTGATGTGGCATATTACATTGATCAATTTTTGTATGCTGAAACATGCTTGCATCCAGGAATAAATCTCACTTGGTCATGGTGTATAATCCTTTTAATACACTGCTGAATATGATTTGCAAGTATTTTGTTGAAGATTTTTGTATCGATGTTCACAAAGGATATTGCTCTACAGCTTTCTCTTCTCGTAGTCTCTTTGTCTGGCTTTGGTGTCAGGGTAATGCTGGCGTCATAGAATGAGTTAGGGAGTGTTAGTTACCTTCTTTTCAATTTTTGAAAAAGTTTGAGAAGAATTGGTATTAATTCTTCTTTAAATGTTTGGTAGAATTCACCAGTGAAACCATCAGGTCCAGGACTTTTCTTTGTTGGGAGATTTGTGATTACTGATTCAAGCTTCTTACTGCTCTATTCAGATTTTCTGTTCTTTATGATTTAGTCTTGGTAGATTTTGTGTTTCCAGGAATTTGTCCATTTCATCTAGGTTATCTAATTTATTAGAGTATAATTGTTCATAGCACTTTCTTATAATCCTTCTTATTTCTGTAGAATCAGTAGTAATGTCCCCACTTTCATTTCTGATTTTAGTAACTTAATTCTCTCTTTTTGTCTTAATGTATCTAGCTACAAGTTTGTCAACTTTGTTGATCTTTTCAAAGAATCGATTTTTGGTTTTGTTGATTTTCTCTATTATATTTTGATTCCTTATTTCATTTGTCTTTGCTTAAATCTTTATTATTTCCTTACTTTTGCTGGCTTTGGATTTAGTTTGTTCTTTTTTTTATTTTTTATTTTTTTGTCTAGTACTTTAAGTTGTAAAAGTAGGCCATTGATCTGAGATCTTTCTTGTTTTTTAATGTAAATGTTTATAGCTATAAATTTCCCCTTTAGCACTGCTTTCACTGTGTCCCATAAGCTTTAGTATGTTGTATTTTTGTTTTCATTCATTTCTAAGTATTTTCCAATTTCCGTTGCAATTTCTTCTTTGATCCATTGGTTGTTTAAGAGTGTATTATTTAATTTCCACAATTTTGTGAATTTTTTAGTTTTCTTTATGTTATTGAATCCTAACTTCAACCCATTGTGGTCAGAGAAGATATTTTGTATAATATCTATCTTTTTAAATAGACTGAGACTTAATTTGTGGCCTCACATATGGTCTATCATGGAAAATGTCCCATATGCACTTGAGAAGAATGTGTATGCTGCTGTTTTGGGTAGAATGGTCTGTATGTATCTGTTAGATCTACTTGGTTTATTGTGTTGTTTAAGTCCTCCATTTCCTTGCTTATCTTCTGTTTGGTTGTTCTGTTCATTATTGAGAGTGAGGTCTTAAAGTCTCCAATTATTACAAAACTGCCTATTTCTCCCTTCAACTCTGTCAGTTTTTACTTCATATATTTTTTCATGGTCTGCTATTAGGTGCATAAATGTTTGTAATTGTTATATCTTCTTGTTGTATTGAACCTTTTATTAATATATAATGTTCTTTTTTGTCTCTTATAACCTTTTTGATTTAAAGTCTATTTTGTTTGTATTAGTATAGCCATCCCTGCTCTCTTTTGGTTACTATTTGCATGAAATATCATTTTCTATCCTTTCAATTTCAACTTATTTGTGTCTTTATATCTAAAATTAGTCTCTTGTAGACTATATATAGTTGGGTTATGTGTTTTTATTCATTCTGCTGATTTCTGTCTTTTGATTGGAGAGTTTAATCCATATACATTTAAAGTAATCACTGATAAGGAAGGACTTACTTCTGTCATTTTGCTATTTGTTTTCTATACCCCTTATAGCATTTTTGTCCCTCATTTCCTGCATTACTGTCTTTTTTTTTGTTTAGTTGACTTTTTTTAGTGAAACGTTTAAATTCCTTTCTTATTTCCTTTTGTATATATTCTATAGGTATTTGTCATTACCATGGTAATTTCACTTAACATCCCATAGTTACAACACCCTAATTTGAGTTTTACCAATAACATATGAGAACTCTGCTCCTTTACATCTCTGTCCCCACCTCTTTTGGTTGTTGATGACACAAAGTTACATCTTTATATATTATGCACTCCAAAACATAAGCTAATGATTTTTTAAATGCATTAGTCTCTTAAACTGTGTAGAAAACAAAATGTGGAGTTATGAACCAAAGTTACAAGAATACTAGTTTTTGGACTAATAATTTGTGGTTTAATGTAATAGTCCCTTAAATCATGTAGAAAGCAAAAAGTGGAGTTACAAACCATTATTACAATAATACTAGCTTTTATAACTGCCTATGTATTTGCCTTCATTGAGATCTTTATTTCTTCAAATGGCTTTAAAATACTACCTGGTATCCTTTCATTTCACCCTGCAGGACTTCCTTGAGAATTTCTGGCAGGGAAAGTCTAGTAATAATGAAATCCCTTAGCTTTTGTGTACCTGGGAATGTCTTAATTTCTTCCTCATTTTTAAAGGACAGTATTCTTGGATACAGGATTCACGGTTGCTAATTTTTTCTTTTAGCGTTTTAAATATATTAACTCATTGCCTTCTGGCCTTCAAAGTTTCTGATGAGAAATCTGCTGATTATCTTATGAGGATCCCTTATATGTGATGAGCCACTTCTCTCTTGCTGCTTTCAAGCTTCCCTCTTTATCTTTAGGAAGTTTGATTATAATGTGTCTTAGTGTGGATTTCTTTAAGTACATCTTGGAGTTCATTGAGCTTCTTGGATATTTAAATTTATTTCTTACATCAAACTCAGGAAGTCTTCAGCCATTATTCTTCAAATATTCTCTCTGTCTCTTTCTATCTCTTTTTACCTCTGGGACTCCCACAATGCATATGCTGGTCTGCTTGATGGTGTCCCACATGTCCCTTAGGCTCTGTTCACTCTTCAATCTTTTTTTCTTTCTGTTCCTCAGACTGAATAATTTCCATTAGGAAATATCCATTGGGAAAGAGGAAACAAATATTTCTTCAGTGTAACTATGTGCCAGGCACTGTGCTGGGTGCTTTACATCTGTCATCATAGTTGATGCTCACAACAACCCAAAGGGTTAAGTATTTTTTAGTCCCATTAGAAATCAGGCAACAGAGTTTCAAAGAGTTTAACTTGATTAAGGCCATTCAGCAACTAGCCAGGCTAGGCTGATTGATAGCTAAGCTCATGTTATTAGGCAGCTAGAATTGAGATCAGTGGTGAAATAGAATGAGAACATCAATGTGAACACGGTTTATAAACTTTTAGGTGCTACAAAGAGCATTCCAGAGGAACGTATGAACAAAAGGAGAATTAGGTAAACAAAGATTGGGACATGACACGATTCCACTCATAATGATATTTCCACAAAACTTCAAAGGAAGACAGTTAACTAATTGAATCTGAAGTTTCCTTTGCTGGAAACTAATAGCCAAAGAATTCACAATAATTTCCTCTGAATGAAAAGTGAGATACGTGATGTGTGCCTGTTGGATAAAAGAAGTATTTGATCCCTTATATTCTTAGTTAGCACTGACCTTTAACACTGATTATGTGATAGTCCTCCAAATACAAACAGCAAGGGAGGGATAGGGAAGGAGATGACAGAGACAAGAAAAGTCCTGATTAGTTATACAGAGACAGGAGGTAATTTGTTGATATAAAAAAAGGGACTCTTTTGCATGCACTTCTTTCTACCACTATCTGTCACTTATGAAAACCTCTATAATTGCAAAGCTTATCTGAAAATATGACTATATACAAGGAAGAACTCATATCGAGAAAAGTCAAACATAGAAACACACTTATGGTGAACTGTTCAGAAGGCCCTGGACCTTCTGGTCCACTCATGCCCCAACCAGCCTGTGGGTTCCTACTCACATTATTCTCCCAAGTGATAAGGCACATGGTATCAGGTATCACGTGGCTATTGTTGTGTAACAAAAACCCACAAAACCTTAGAAGCTAAAACAACAAA